CAAAGTGACACCTTAAGTCCTCCTTATATATCGAAGATGATATAATTTGTTAGATAGTATCTGTACCTATACCTAATCTAATTGTTGGCTAAATGTTATTGACATTGAAATACCAGGAGGTTCTCGCGGTCATTGTTTTCTAATAGGATTTGTAGGTTGTCTCCGCCTGTTTGTTTGTAATGGGGTTTTTCGGTTTTTAATATAAAAAAACACGGCGGGTATAATTAGAGGGACTGGAACTACTGACAGAGGTCTCCATCGTTTTCTATTAAGGTTTATAGGTTACATAACACGGTAGTTTTTACTAGTATAAGACTGGGTTCTCCGCCTGTTTGAAGTAGGAATTGTCGAATTTTGATACGATTAATATGGCGGTTTCACTATAGTGGTAGGAACAAATGACTTAGGTTCTGCTGGTTTGTATCATGGCTGGTTGGTTTTTGAAAAAAAAAAATACACGGTGTGTAATTCCAGAGGGGCATGAACTTCTGATAGAGGTCTCCACCGGTTTGAGAAAGGATTTGTCGGTTTTAATATGATTAAACGCGATGGGTCTCACTAGAGGGACAGGAACAGTTACTGCTGACAGAGGTCTCCTTCGGTTTGTAATAGGGTTATTATGTTTATCATAAGAATAGCACGGTGGGTTTTAATAGTGAAGCAGTTACTACTGACTGAAAGCTCCACCTGTTTGTAGCAGGATTTGTCTATTTTTATACAAATAACACGGCAGGTTTCACAAGAGGAAGTACTGAGTGACGTTTCATGGTTTGGTCCAATTTTAGTCAGAATAACACGATGTGTTTCCTCGAAGAGCAGGAACTATTAATCGAGGTTTCCGCCTGTTTGTACTAGGATTTATCGAATTTTTATACAAATAACACGACGGGTTTCACAACAGGAGCAGGAACTACTGACTTAGTTCCCCGTAGGGTTAAATTAGTGTTGGCGTTGCACAATCTTAAGTTTTCTGGATTGTTGTAAATAATTGTTTGGCGACGATGGTGTTGTCTTCGTCTAATGATATTTTATTGCCGGCTTTTTATTTTTTGTAGTACTATTATTTAACAGAAATATCATGAAACTGACATACCTATATACATATATATGTTATAATGTTATTCAGAAATAATTGCGTGCATTTATTATAGCGATAAAAGGAAAAACTGTATACAAATATATGTGTCAGATTTCAGAATGCGAGTTATTATGATTGCGATAGTCAATCAGTCGCATTATTCGCAATAATCTCTGAATTTACAGTATGTAATTTGACAACAGTCTTGGTAATGCATACTCTTTATTTACTAATAGTAAAATAGGCACATAACTTTCAATTCCATGTTTTCAATAAAATCAGAACGATTATGACCTTACCTTTTGATCTGTGGAACAATAATGTTGCACAAATCTATTATTTGTCCCATTTAAAAGGTCTTATCAGCACTACATTGTATCTATATTACGACCTTTTGTATTAGTTTGACTACTGTATTGAACAGTGTTTGTGAACTACCAGTCCTTTGAGCGTACCATCTGCCTACTTGTCAGTTCTCAGTAATGTGAACTACCAGTCCTTTGAGCGTACCATCTGCCTACTTGTCAGTTCTCAGTGATGTGAACTACCAGTCCTTTGAGCGTACCATCTGCCTACTTGTCAGTTCTCAGTGATGTGAACTACCAGTCCTTTGAGCGTACCATCTGCCTACTTGTCAGTTCTCAGTGATGTGAACTACCAGTCCTTTGAGCGTACCATCTGCCTACTTGCCAGTTCTCAGTGATGTGAACTACCAGTCCTTTGAGCGTACCATCTGCCTTCTTGTCAGTTCTCAGTGATGTGAACTACCAGTCCTTTGAGCGTACCATCTGCCTACTTGTCAGTTCTCAGTGATGTGAACTACCAGTCCTTTGAGCGTACCATCTGCATACTTTTCAGTTCTCAGTGATGTGAACTACCAGTCCTTTGAGCGTACCATCTGCCTACTTGCCAGTTCTCAGTGATGTGAACGACTAGTCCTTGAGCGTTTCATTTGCCGACTAGCCAATGCTCAGTGATATGAACTTCCAGTCCTTGGGGTAACCATCCGCGTTATAGTCAAGTGCGCGAGATGTGAACGTTTAGCATAGGCATTGGTTCTGTGTCTGTTTTCACACAAAATCTGGTCGCCACCTCTACCGGAGGACTTTGAGTCTGCGATGGTATCGGTCTTATAGCTTTTTAAGTACCTCTTGGTTGTTTTCTCTACTGGACAAGGCCGTAACTACCATTGAGGCAAGTGAGGCAATTGCCTCACTAAAATTTCTACACTGAATTTTTTTTTTTTTGTGTGTATTTGTTTATGGGCATTAAATACGAAATATATTCATTTGTTTTTCCTGTCTGAGTATTCATTTCCCCATTTTCCCCAACTTTATTCGTTCTCTTTATACAGATAAACAAAATATAAATAATATGAAACCTGCATGGATTAGTTTTTGTCCATGTTTCTTTTACCTTAAAATTTGAAAGAACATCCCGTAATCCAATTTTGACATTATAGAGGGGCGGTAGGACCTTTAAAACGGGATTTCATGTTTTTAAATTCGGGACTACGGGTTTTCGTGTCTTTTAATTCGAGATTTCGGGATCGTACCCCTTCCTACCCCCTTCATTTATCAATTGTCAACCTACTGACTATTTCCAGAAATAATCCTAAATCACGGACCTACATGTAAACGGCGAAAACGCCAGTCCAATTTCCCCGAATCAATAAAAAAAAACACCTAAAAATCAATATTCCTAGAATAACATAAAACGATATACTAGTTATATCCAATTTGCTGTATCCATAACATTAAAAGGTAGCATGTGGCAAAAAGAAAAAAACTAAAAATAATATTCCTAAATAACATAAAATGACATAGGGGGTACCCCCATACCTCAGTGAATTCAAATGAAAAAGTGTTCTTCTGCTTTTGTTAACTCTCCCAGTGACGAGTGTTTGCTTTGAACGTTCTTTTTCTGCCTTGAGACGACCGAAAACTTGGGAAAGAGCATGCATACATTAGTTTAGTCCAAATAATTATGACGTCTTGAAAGGCTATTTTGGTTTTTTTTTCTGGAACGAAGGCGTCCCAGAAAAAAAAACCAAAATAGCCTTTCAAGACGTCATAATTATTAGGACTAGCATGAGTGATGAGAGACTGAGCTGTCTTGCCATGCTTCATGTTCATCGCATTAAGGATGTCAGCAGACCAAATATTATGAAACGATTTGACGAAACCGGCCATAGAAATATTGGTAAACTCCAATTTGAATAACAATTGCTACTGAGTCGATGTTTGTTCTGTGTTCTGGTGGCAGACTCAAATTGATATTTGGATGTTTATCCGACATATAAATTTAGATAAAGTTGTTAAAAATTTGGTGTTAGTATACATGTCTTAAAATATGAAAAATATATAAAAAGTGTCCAAAAATAAAAACACTTGACAGCTTGTTTCAACAATGTCAAGCTCTCTGGAAATGCCCAGAATGCAGGATTTTACACCATTTATCCCAGACCCCTGCCGAAATTTTTCGCCTCGCTACGCTCGGCTCTATTTTTCACTTCGCTCTGCTCGGCGATCAGTTCTGCCTCACTAAAATAATATGCCTAGTTACGGCCTTGCTGGAGGACCATCAGTCTCCGAGGCCATCGGTTCTATACCTTTTCTCACTACCTCATTGTCGTTACCTCTACAGAAGAACAATTAGTATCGGAGGGTATCGACGCTATATCTTTTCTGATTACATTTGTCCTAACTTTTACTGGAGGACTATGAATCTCCAATGGTTTCAGTGCTATACTTTCGATCACTTCCTCATTCGTTACTTCAATCGGAGAACTATACTCTCCGAGGGTATCGATGATATAATTTGTCTCACTAGTTCTAATTAAGGACTTGTGAATCTCGGAGGGTACCGCTGCTATACATTTCTAACTACCTATTGGTCGTGCCCTCTATTGGCGACTATGAGTCTCCGAGGGTATCGTTGCTATACCTTTTTCACTATCGCTTGGTCGCTACCTCCCCTGAAAGACTATGAGTCTCGGAGTGTTTCGTTGGTATACCTTTTCTCACTACCTTTTGGTCGTTACCTCTACTGGAAGACTTAACTATCCGAAGGTATCGGGCTATGCATTTTCTTCTTTCCTCTTGTTCGTTACTTTAATCTGTGGACGATAGTCTCCGAGGGTATCGTTGCTATACCTTTTCTGGTCGTTATCGCTACCAAAGGACTCAATCTTCGAGAGTATCGGTGCTATTCCTTTTCTCACCACCTCGGGTCTCAGAGGTTATCAACCGATCAGTAGCCCATGCTTCTGTACTTTCATGATTTAAATATCTGAGTAATTAAGTCATTATTTATTTTTTTGTTATAATCGTTATTCTTGTTTCTTTTTGGGGTTTGTTGTTTGTTTGTTTTTTGTTTAGTTTTTTTTCCGGGGGGGGGGGGGGGGAGGCGAGCAACACATTAACATGATTGCTAACTTTTATTAACATGATTGCTAACTATTATTTCAGGATTCAACTCTTTTCACTATTTCACTCTCAGTAGAGGTATTAAAACTTTAAAACAAAACGAACAAGAAAATTATATTTATTTACAAAGTGATACTTTATACAAAATTTTCTGAAAAAAGAGATGGCATGATTTCGGCCATTTTTTGCAGCATAAATTTGAAGATAGTAAAATTAAATGTTAATTAAAAAAAAAAACAAAGAATATAAAACATGTCAGAATAATAGTGTGGTCAATGGAGAAAATGTCATTGTTGGTGTTTCAAAAAATTCATAATGATAAGATTAATAACGTATTGAATACTTTGCACATAACTCTAGGTTAAATGTAATACTAGTATGACCAATAGCCTAACCCAAAAAGATATTTTCTAGCTTCGATATCTTTGCGTTAGACATTTCATGGCGTTTTGTTTTGTAATACAACTTATAAACGGAAAACTAAAGACAAGATCTCAAGTATGACATTTATTGCACTTCTTTCGTTAATCTCATGTACAACATGTAGTTTTCAACCAAATACAAATACGAATACAAAATTTAAATATATATATTATTTCTTATATCCCACATCTTAATTCATTGAGATATATTTGAGAAATCTACAAAACTTTACGTTTTCTGGAATCTAAAAAGCAAAAAAAAAGATTCCTTTGAATCGAGAATTCAATCATGATAAAGTAACTATATTTACAGTGTTCAAACAAAGTCTACATTACTATAATATGACCAACCTTTGCATTAATAATATTACCATATTATATTAATATATCCTTGATATTTTTGCAATAGTCGTTTTAATTTCAGTAAGTTTTTATCGTATGTTAAATGGACAGCAAACTAACCACATGTACAGGCTTTTCATCGTTTTACACAATTCAATAATAATTCTATGCAATATCTAAGTAATTTCTTCAAAAATAAGATTTGTACAAAACACATGCCTGTATTGTTAACAATGTCACTCGCAAATTTATATAAACTGAGTATACTTTCAGTTTTGAATATTTGTCAATTTAAAAGTCCATGCCCATTGACATGGTAACTTATTCCAACATATATTTGGTATTGTTATATTCAGTCCTTGTGCACCAGCACTTGTAGTCCATTGGAATTTCTCTGGATATCCAAGCATAGTAACTATGGTATTTGTAGAAGTAATAGGTGCCCCAAGTGTTAAGGTATTATTTTGTGGCCATGACAACACTACAGCATAAACAAATTTCTCATCAGTTTTCTTCATTGTGTACCTGTTTAAATCAAATAGAAATAGTTGGTTTGACGTCGGACCATGAAAAAATACAACGCACTTTTGCATTAGATTTTAATGTTTGGTTCTTGTCCATTTAAATTTCTTTCCATCATTTTCTTCAATTTCTAAATATGTTTTGAATTACAAATTTAAAAATAGCAAGAGCTTGACAATACATATAAGAAATTGTATAAAATATATTAATACGCAAAAAGGTTATAAGTTCAGACTTATTTCATTGATGAAAAACGAGACAGAATATATCAAGGGGACATCAATACATGTAACCGTTAACACGAAACGGAAGAGTAACACGAACACAACCAAATGATCCCAAATCACAGGGAAGGATCTAAGGTGCTGTGGTACGGTCAGTTGTCCAACGATTGACACCGTACACATTTAGTGATGAGTTGCATTCAGTGATATCATAATCGAGGAAAAGAGGTTGTATCTATGACAATTGGAACATATCCGTGGTAAGTTGTGACAGTTATCCGGCCAACTATATATAGTTTGATGTCATCAGTAAAAGATATAATATGATAAACGAAATCAGGCATCTCAGCTAATTCATTTTCAAAAAAAAATTTTTTTATCCGAGTTGTTTTCTACAATTTATGATTTATTCCTTCTTAAAATAAGATATATGTATCTACAGTGGCGATTTATTTTTTGAGACACTGTTGGAGCGTCATGAACAACAAAATATTTATCCATTTTTAAACGTGTTACAAGTATAAATCCCAACAGAGGCGAAATGATTTTGTAAGTCCTCATGAAATTTTTGAATATGATAATCTAAATTACATATTTTTGGAACTATAAGTAATTAATATTAATTTACGGAGTTAATTCATATGTAAACTCGACTTTTCACTCACAAACTCATTGAATATAAAAATAAGGAGATGTGGTACAATGTATGATTGCCAATGAGACAACTTTCCACCAAAGTTCAAATGAAGTGGATGTAAGCAATTATAGGCAACCGTACGGCCTTCAACAATGAGAAAAACCAATACCGTATGGTCGGCTATAAAAGGCCCCGGATTATATTCAGTTTGCAAAATAACCAATAAACTCAAAATAACCTTATGACTATAATAATTAACTGGCCACTTTTAGGAGTATACTTGTAAAATTACATTTTAAAAAAATGCGTTTGTAGATATAGTTAAAAATGCAGTCGAAGTTACATGATTTGAACATTGGTTAACTTCTGTCGCCTTAATTTATATAAATCCTACCAGACATATCGAGTAGTTGTATCCTTTTGATGGCTCCATGGCACAGTACTGTATATCCCTTCGCCATTACAACCAAGCCATTGACCAAGCTGTCGAAGTCTCTCTTCGAATATGGGTGTTATTTTACCTTCCTTTGTAGGACCAACATCTAATATCATATTTCCACCACAACTTTCAATACAAATTAACCATAATTAAGAATGGTTATCAATAAGATTCAAAAATACTGAATGCAATACATAACTGTAGTTAATAGAAAATAGGAAATATAGTATTAAAAGGATGTGAACTTTATAAATATGTGTACGGGGGGGGGGGGGGGGGTATTTCAGTTATTATGTTCCCTTCAAATATTTTTTTATAGTTCTGACGTCACAAATATGACATTGGTTTGCACGGTAAGAACAAATGTAATTTGAAGTTCCGTATAATAAAACCAGAATCCAGAATTAAATGACCAACAGGCTCCTAAATGCCTAAATTGAGTAACCTGCTAAACATATGCCGTTTGATATTTATTTTAACCTTTACTGGAAACCTATAAGGCAGTTCATTTTTGCTGTTGACAGTTTCTACTGATCTATTATAGTTTTGAAAATAATTGGCAAAAATACAAAAATAAGTTTAAAAACGTGATTTAAGGGCTGGAATTCCTTGAACTCCTTAAGGAGTCATTCAATTATTTCGGTCATATTGGCATTTTTGTAGATCTTGAATTGCTTATCATTTATACTCTTTACAGGTTCTGCCAATATATAAAAATAAGTCAAAAAGTCATCAGTTATAAGCAATACATCCGATATGTTATTTATCATCCAATGGTTTCGGTCATTTGGAATTTTTGTAGATCTTATATCGCTCATCATTTTTGCTATTTACATTTTCGAACTATCAATCATAGTTTTTCGATTGAATGAATGATTGATCGGTGTGTAACTCTTTGGTGCAGGAAGCCGGAGAACACAGAATTAGCCACAGATCTTCGGCAGGAAACTGGCAATCCTAGTCAATTAAGATGGAGTCGAACGCACCTCCCGCGGGCGTGATTCGAACTCAAAACCTCGGTGCTAACAGGCTAGTGATATTGTAGAAGAACCACTTAGACCACTCGGCTCCTTATAGTTTTCGAGATATTAGACAACAACAAAAAAATTAGTCAGAAATCGTCATTTAATTGCAATTACTCCTGGAAGAAGTCGTCTGCCAGTTTTGTTGAAAATAAGAAGAATTGAGCATTTTGCCGTTTCAGATTTTTTCATTATATTAAGGTTTGCAGGATACAAGGCAGTACATGCATTTTACCTTTATGCTCTATTTTTTTACCTTGGTCGTTATATGTTTTGACTGTCCGGAAATAAATTACATTGAACATCACGAATTTGGTTAAACAGTACGACGCGTCTGTGTCTCAACTGATAAGAGACATATTTTCTCGGTCTAAGATCTTTAGACACAAGAATTTTTGTCAGATGTTCAATTTATCGATTGTGCCCCTTTACCTATCGGGACATTTTTTACAGTCTGCATTCGCCTAGTATTGATGCATATAGAAAAAGAGACGAAAATTGGGTAGCAGCACCCGGTGTCGTTATGTTTGGAGTTCAAACGATTTCCTGAGACCTTTTCTGTCAGAGAACTCAACAGTGTTATGAAAATTAAATTGTAGGTGAGATAGTATATATAGTACCAGTTTGATATAAATCCATATTTTACGTACGTGTTTATACTAACATAAAAACATATAGAAAACTACTGTCGGCTTTTATTTACAATTAAAAAAAAACAAAATGTACACATACCTTACTATGGAAACGAGGTTTGAAATAATGTCATGAGGACTGAGAAAATTACTTAGTTGCACATTACGTCGGTAGGCCCATGCATCTCGGTCTATTGTCAAACCGCCTTCAAATTTATGCTTTTGTAGAACACCTGTTAAAAACAACAAAATGCTGAAAGACAAAACAAAACGGAACGACGGAAATTCGGAAGATACAAGAAAAATGAGAAAAAAATGTTATGAAATTCAGTGAACCTTTAGGAATCGAATTGTGTTATAATAGAAATTACTTTCATTAAAAAATGACGCAAATATTTTATACCCTTTTTGAACAGAACACTACTCTATTTTTAAGTCAAATGCACCAGTCTTTAACCTTTGTCATTTTTATATATACTGTTCAGGAAATTTAAAGCATTCATTGCAATGTAATATAAAGTTGCAGGTAAAATAATTGACATATCTACATACCAGGATTAAATTTATCTGCACAAGTAAAGTAGCCACCATGTTTACAAAAACATGTTTCACACCATCTGTCATTCGTAATAACTGTATCCTTCACTGGACTACAAAAGAAATGAAGAAGTCACAAATGAAAATTATATTCCTGAAACCTCTGCTTGGGGAATGTTAGTCTCCGAGGGTATCACCAGCCAAGTTACCAGTACTTCAGATCTGTCTGGAAAATACGGATATTGTGTTATAAAAGTTTGTCGTTACAAAATTTTTGAAATTATCTTAAATTAAGTAGATATAGGAAGATGTGGTATGAGTGCCAATGAGACAACTCTCCATCCAAGTAACAATTTATAAAAGTAAACCATTATAGGTCAAGGTACGGCCTTCAACACGGAGCATTGGCTCACACCGAACAGCAAGCTATAAAGGGCCCCAAAAATTACTAGTGTAAACCCATTCAAACGGGAAAACCAACGGTCTAATCTATATAAAAACGAGAAACACGTATGAACTACATAAACAGACGACAACTACTGTATAAGGATATATATATCTCCATCATGTAAAAAAGCTCTGATTCCTTGCCCGGCTTCGGTTATACTTATTGTCCTGGTTGGTTTACCAGCTCTTCATAAGGTATAATTTTTTAAATATCTTGGCCTCCAGCGTCACTGAAGAGACGTTGTTAGTCGAAATGCGCATCTGGTGCAGTAATACTGGTACTGTTAATGTTAAATATTATCCATTTTTCATCTATCAAAGTTGCTTCAATCTTACAGTTCTAATGATATTATATAAAAAACCGAATACGATGATGTATAAACGATTATTAGTTTCGAATGTGTCCTCCACTGCAGGGAATATATATTTTCTGGTAAGTTTCTAGCGCCAGGATAACATTAAACGTTTACAGACCAACAGTGATTGTTTCGCGAACCTCGTTAGGGACAAAAAATTGAAGTTAGTCGTAGTTAAGTCCTGTAACTCGAAATTGGTCTGTAAAATGTAAGAAACTTCATAACTTGCCTGTGACCTTGAAAATCGGGTGGGATTATCTAAATCTTGACCTCTATATTATGAAATGTGGTAGAATTGCTAATAAGACAACTATCCACCAGAGACGTGGATGTAAGCAACTATAAAGGACACCATACGGCCCTCAAAAATGGTATGTAAAGCATTTAATATCATACATGATCATATAGTAAGCTGTAAATGTCAAAATGTAAAACAATATCCAGCGATCTGATCTACAGTAAAATAATAAATAAATAACAGATATGACAGACAGCAACTAACGACAACCACTAAGTTGGCGTTTCCACTTTTTTATTTATTAGGGGGGATGTTTGTTTGCTTTGAGGTTTTTGATACAAAATGGGTACCCCAAAAATATAGCAATGACAGAGTCCAAGCTTTGGTACGTGCGTAAACTACAAAAATAATTCGGGCAAAAAAATAACAAAAAGAAGGTACGTAATTGCATTATATGTTAGAGATTCTGAGTAAGTTTTATTTAATTATGATTTGGGGTTTAGGTAGAAAGTGGATACACATTTGTACTATAGTGTGTAGATACGACGAAGTCTATGTCATCCAAAAGTAAACCCAAAAATCAATCAGATGAAGAAATAAACAATGAGGTGCAAAAGTACACTATGTAAGGAAAATTCTGTTGAGCGGTTCTGGAGCAGTTTCCGACACAAAAGTTGGATGTAACGGACTCCCCATTCACTATACACCGCCTGTTTTAGAATGCAGGGGGTATAATAATGTTATCTTAAAGCCACGTGGTTTAACTCATGAAGATGTCAGGTGCATATGCCTTTTCCCTAACACCTGCCTCGGTTGCCTCAATGATAATAACTTTTACCAATGTAAGTGGCATCTCCCTTAGCCCTGTAACCAGCCATTGTTGCCTCAGTAATATTTAGTGATGTAGGTTCTTAAGTTGTTTGTTAATTACTAAAGTTAAATTCAACAATGATGTTACCTTTCATTATAAAGCCAAGCTAAGAATTCCTGAGATTTGTAATACTCCGCCGGACCTTTCAGTTCACACATATCAGACCATAAAACTTCGGGTTTGTAGTTATTTATCAATTCATACAGTGCCGGTTGAACTTTAAACTATAAAAAAAAATCTCAGATAGATAAGAAACTTTATACTGGCTTGTTTTCAATTGTAAATGTCGTGATATGATATTTGTTGGAACATCAATTGCATGGAAGCTGTATGGAAACAAGCTTTTAATAGAACTATTTTTAAAACCGAGTATCCCCTCCGTGGGAATCAGATCCATATTTTTGTTACTCACCGTTTGTATTTTTCGTGTAAATGGTCCTCCGGATTCGGATCCATCTGCGGATTTCTGACCGGGAAATCCGGTGTGATTTTGCAATCTAACATATACTAGTCAACAAAAGAAACGATAAAAGGCAATGTATTTTCCATATATAATAAAATTGGATACTGTACCAAGGTCAACAATTGCCCAATTGGTCTAATATTTACAGAATGTTATTTTCTTATCTAAATCATGGATTTAAGGCAAATACGCGAATTTTTTTTTTTTTTTTTTTTGCAATTTTTGTTATTTCAAAAATCGTATTTTCACCCAAAAATTAAAAAATCGATATTAGAACTTAAAAATTTTAAACTTAAATATGGTCTGCTTAAAATTTTGAATGCCTTTGCAGATAATTGAATACTTAATTCTCATCTGCGAAATTCAGTGCCGACTTTTGTCGTCAATTTCCGCAAAAAATAAATTTGACCCCTGTGTTCAATAACACGATATTTTCTCACTTTCCAATTTGGTCAGATTCTTTTAATCATATGCATTTGCTTTGCAAATGAATGTTTTTCATTGGACAATTTTCCCTATTTATTATATTTTATGATAAATTGAAGTTCAAACCTGTGTATCGTTACTTTTGTTGACTAGTATATGAATTTCATCAGTCCTAACTCATAAAATGTAAGGGTTAGTGCCATTACTTAACACTAAACACTTAATTAACGATAGCAGTTCAAAAATATCTTATGAGAATATTCTAGACAGCAAGCCAGGGCATCGTTTCTCAAACAATTTTTATAGTTAAATAGGAATAAATTAATATAAAATTTGTATAGCTTGGCATATTGTCATTGTCTATTTTTGAAGACCGTATGTTGACCCTTAAATGTCTTTGGTCGGTTTTTTTGTTGTTGGGTTACTGTCTCATTACCAAACATTTCTTCTTATTCGTGTTGATTTTTACGATAGCAAAGTTAAACCGAATCTAAACATAAGTATGAAATTCTGATTTAAGACAGATTTGTAATTCATCATTGTATAAAAGACATCTTAAGTATTTGAAAATGTCAGTTCTAAAGTTTTATGTAAATACTAATGATCACTAATGTCGCTTAGAGCCAGAAGTATTAATGTCTATTCTTATGTTACTTTTGCTTTTCTATGTATTACATACATAAGTTTACAGTTTTACGTATAAGTCTTTGTAGGAGTAAACCTTATGACTTTAAATAACTTTGAAATTAGAATCATTTTTTACTTTTCTTTCAATTTGTTATCTTCTGTTATTCGTCTAGATACCGAAGTCAATGGTTTAGCTAAAATTCTATTAGCAACTTCATGAATAAAATCAGAAAAACTGTCGCGTGATTCTATGAAAATTTAAACTGACCTTCACATATTCCTGTCCTGTATAGTTACTTTCTTTATCCTTCAAATAGAGTGGATTAAACCATTCCTGTAGGCAATGATATAGTCCTACTTTAAGACTGGATTTCTTACGCAAGGCTGCGGAAAATTCACCTGAAAAAATGGATATACATTTAAATTCTTGGTATACGTAAAGCCGGATCAAATTTCCATTTAAATTAGTTTCAATGACGTCTGTTGTCATGAAATAGAAGTTCCTTCATAATATAAGTTGCAAATGGAAGAAATCTTCTGTAATATTACAGAACAAATGATATAGAATAATGGTTCCCATAAACATTGACACTGTGTCGTTTGTTCAAGTTAACCCCATCATTGCACCTAGTTGTTTGTTGTTTTTTTGTTTTTTTTTTTCTTTCGTATTTGTAAGTTTCAAATATTGCCTTCTTTTCCCGTTCTGGTTCTACTTCAATCAAAATATTCATTGCTTTCCTTAATATTTTTTCCAATATTTCAATATATCGAATTGTCTTTGTCGTGCATGAAACAGGACAAAATGCTGAAGTGAAAAAGGAATTTTAGTTATTTCATTTAAGACCATCTTTATATATTTTCATTTTAGCCCTCGAATACAGACACACAGTCAAATCACGTTATATTATATTTTCAAATTTTATGACAGTTTGTTTCAATATAAATACAAACCATAATTTAAAGTTTCATCTGTAATTAATGAATTAAAACTGAAACAACGGTTGGTGTTTATAACTGACAAACATATCTCCATAACTATCTATGTTTTCCTTTTAATTACAAGATTGATTGCTTGATCGGTTGATTGATTGACGGCTATTCAACGTTCAGCTGCAATTATTACATGCATATTAAGGATGACATGTTACAATAGATACCATATTAATATAGCCTGATTTGTACCTGAGTCTGATTTTTGACATATCGATGATGTGGTTAACAAGAATGAATGAAGTCCTTAGTCCGGTAGAGTTAGGTCCGATGTGGTTAACAAGAAAGAATGAAGTCCTTACCTACAATATCTCTCTTAGGTCCGGTCGAGATAGGTCCTATGTGGTTAACAAGAAAGAATGAAGTCCTTACCTACAATATCTCTCTTAGGTCCGGTAGAGTTAGCTCCGATGTGGTTAACAAGAAAGAATGAAGTCCTTACCTACAATATCTCTCTTAGGTCCGGTAGAGTTAGGTCCGATGTGGTTAACAAGAAAGAATGAAGTCCTTACCTACAATATCTCTCTTAGGTCCGGTAGAGTTAGGTCCGATGTGGTTAACAAGAAAGAATGAAATCCTTACCTACAATATCTCTCTTAGGTCCGGTCGAGATAGGTCCTATGTGGTTAACAAGAAAGAATGAAGTCCTTACCTACACTATCTCTCTTAGGTCCGGTAGAGTTAGGTCCGATGTGGTTAACAAGAAAGAATGAAGTCCTTACCTACAATATCTCTCTTAGGTCCGGTAGAGTTAGGTCCTATGTGGTTAACAAGAAAGAATGAAGTCCTTACCTACAATATCTCTCTTAGGTCCGGTAGAGTCAGGTCCGATGTGGTTAACAAGAAAGAATGAAGTCCTTACCTACAATATCTCTCTTACGTCCGGTAGAGTTAGGTCCGACGTGGTTAACAAGAGAGAATGAAGTCCTTAACTATAATATCTCTCTTAGGTCCGGTAGAGTTTGGTCCGACGTGGTTAACAAGAAAGAATGAAGTCCTTACCTAAAATATCTCTCTTATGTCCGGTAGAGTTAGGTCCGATGTGGTTAACAAGAAAGAATGAAGTCCTTACCTACAATATCTCTCTTAGGTCCGGTAGAGTTAGGTCCTTACCTACAATATCTCTCTTAGGTCCTACAGAGTTAGAGTTCCAGTTGAAGCTTGTTTTTGACGGCCATAGTGTAAACCCATCGCAGTGTTTAGTAGTAAGTACAGCATACCTTAAATACATATAAAGCCAAATCAGTTTATTTTTTATGAGCTTAACATTTTTATGCCCCTCCTAGAGGCATTAAGGTGGGGCATTATGTTTTTCGGTCTGTGCGTCCGTTCGTCCGTTCGTCCGTCCGTCCGTCCGTCTGTCCCGCTTCAGGTTAAAGTTTTTGGTCAAGGTAGTTTTGGATGAAGTTGAAGTCCAATCAACTTGAAACTTAGTACACATGTTCCCTATGATGTAATCTTTCTAATTTGAATGCCAAATTAGAGTTTTGACCCCAATTTCACGGTCCACTGAACATAGAAAATGATAGTGCGAGTGGGGCATCCGTGTACTATGGACACATTCTTGTTTAAATTAGTAAATAAACATCGAACCGTTTTGATTACAAAACGTGCACATGCGTATCTCTATTTCCCCTTGTCTACACTGCATTTGTGTAAAAAAAATATCAGATCTGCACAAAAATTAAAATGTTAAACTGAAAATGTAACAAAGCAATTCTGTGAAGCCCTGGCCGCTCTATTGAGTTGGATAATCAACGTCAGAAATTGCAAAGTCAACGAGAATAATCATCTACATATGGTAAGATGCAATCTTTCAATTTCTTGCCTACAGTCCAATGGAAAATATTTCATGCATGTTCAGAACGAATTAACATGAATAAATACAATAGGTAATCCCTGTAATAAAAGCCGTCCGGGAGGAAGATCGGGGAATGTTGGACTGCAACTGGAAAATGAGGGTATATTGGATAGGGAGTAAACTTTTGCCTTGTAACAGGCCACCTACGGATTCCTCAAAGAATTGTTGCAAATGGTTCATAACGTGTAAGAGCATGGAACTTTCTTTACACGAGGCATCGGATTTAATGTCCCAATTCCTTTCATTATTAATAAAATTTAAGTAGCAGTAGTAGACTAGTAGTACGCACAATACTCACTGGACAATTTGCAAAAAAAAACATATAAATACAGACAATCTAAAAGACTAAATGACCGATGGTACAATTTAGTTCAAATTAACAAACAATTGAGCCCGAAAGCGTATTTCAAGCGGGCCCCTTTTAGGATTTTTAACAACATACATCTGTAATAAATATTTGATAAGTTATCTTTATATGCTAAAGATATATCGATTTAACCAGTTATCTGTATAGATATCTCATTATTTAAGGATTCATGTATACATGGTAAATTTTATAACAATGCTTAGGCATTATTAATTTCCAACAAGGATAATTAATCTTACTTTGCACCAGAAGCGTTGAATATTTCCGCCCATTCCTCTGCATTGAAGAATTCTGCAGTAAATTCAGCTGCGAAATCTTGGTACGTAAATCTAGGCGGATAATTTTTCTTCATGAATTCTACACTGTGCATGTCACTCTTATCATGCCAGTATTTCCAGAACCAGGACGGAACATGGTCAAAACTCGGTACAGAAAATACTCCAAAATGAATAAATATGCCGAGTTTTGCCTGATCGTACCACTGAGGAAGTGGACGAGTATCTAATGAGTCCCAGTTTGGTTCGTATTTTATACTGACCACTGTCTGGTGTACAATAAAAAGTACAATGTATTTTAACAATGTCATTATCTTATTCACTTCACCTGAAATAAATAATGATGATTAATTAATTATAATATCAATAATCAATAATAATACTAACTAGAGGCTTCAAGGGCCTCTCTGAATCGCTATACACTTTGGAATAATAAATCCATTTTTTTCTGTTTATAGTTTCATATATCTTTTTTTCAGTTTTCAATTTAAAAACCAAAAATGCGAAAGTGGATGAAAACTCCGGTGAAAAAAAAACAATTAATCATTTTGATTTTCTTTGACTTTGGTATATCTTGTGTTGCTGATCTTGTTTTCAGATTAAATTTGTATTTGTCAACTTTAAATTTGAAGATAACAGCTTAAATAGGGAAATTGACCAGAACAGTCTGTTTTTCTGCAGAATGTCGCTGGCTCGCTTCGAATTAGTCCGGCTTCCTCCACCAACAACAAAACTGGCCTCAATGATATAGCAAAGGGTGTTAAAAGTGGCGATTAACACCAAAAATTTAAGTTTCGAAGTTGACCGAGAAATTCAGCAAAACACTTTCTAATAACGTATGCAATAAGCCTTGAAAAAAGACAATATCAATGAATCTCGTGTATAACACCAGTGTTCTGAGTCGTGTCCTTACCTTTCGCTTAACAGGTACAAAAAATCTTCACTGCACGTGCCAACATGTAACTTCTGATTCAGTTTACTAATATGCTTCTAAGGTTGGTATAAACAAGTTATCTGTTTGTTATATATGATAACAGTGTAATAGATAAACAAAGAAAAATGAAATATGATCATGTGATATTTTCATAAGTCCTTCACATCGGTTACAACAACGAACACTTTTGATACCGAAAACAAGGAGAGACAGTCTAATTTCAAAAATACCCCCTGTTCTTATGTTCCCGTGTGGGCTATTTGCCGACGAAGTTATTCTCGAGAATTAACAAAAACAAGTAAAGCAGTGTCGATACTAAACGCGTACATGAGGCAATGCTTCAAACATTTACTCATCGGTACCTTGAAGCTTTAAAATGGCTTTGTATGTTGGGATGTATAAATACCCTGCCACGTCCGGTCTGCGTTTTTGTTAGATTTTTTTTCTGCTTTGTATCGATCTGATGAGTTAAGCCTTTTCAACTGATTTTTATAGTTTGTTCCTCATATTGTACTGTTACACCACTGTCCCAGGTTAGGGGGAGGGTTTGGCGCAGGCAAATACTTAGTCTAGTTAATCCCCGCCACATTCTGTATGTGTCGTCAATAACCTGGATTTCAGTGGTTGTCGTTTGTTGGTGTATATCATATTTATTTTTCGTTCATTGTTTTGTACACAAATCAGGCCGTTAGTTTTCTCGTTTGATTAGTCCGATTTCGGGGCCTTTTATAGCTGACTATGCGTTATGAGTTTTGCTCATTGTTGGAGGCAGTACGTTGACCAATAAATGTTTATGTCATTTGATATCTGGTGGAGAGTTGTCTCATTGGCAATCATACCACATCTTCTTATTTTCAAAACTAAATATCTATGATCATAGCGTGATCTTCAGACATTGGCGTAAACTCACGGGTCTTCATTAAAGTTAAATGTGAACAAATTGTCTTCCATTTGCTCCTTTTAAGCACTCATGGTGTTAATTGAAAACATGGTAAATAATGAAGCAGAAAATATAATTCTTGATTAAATTAGACAATTACAAAGATGAGCCAGAGCAACTTTTCTCTCATATATAATAAAGTGCGAGGAGGAGCTAGTTAAATGAGGACGAAAAGATTATCTACAGGTTATATATATCAAACAATGAGGTCAAAGATATTTAATGTTGAATGAGTAATTTTTTTAAAGATCATTTGTCTGTATCCTTAGTAACGTAAACCATATGCATGTGCAATACATTGTATAAATGGTATTGACTTTTACATGTTTATTTTATCATTGAAGTAATTATTTCCCTCAGTATTGGACCTGTTGGTAGTAATCTCATGTTGTCCCGTGTGTGTCTATTAATATACTATTACGTATTACTATTATACTAATGCACAACACAGTTGTCAATATCATACACAGGGAAGTAAATCAGAACTCAGTATTTTTATGTTTTATTTGTTTACTTTTACAGTTCAGTTCGCCTACTACTAAATTTAACAAAAATTATATAATTTCTAAATAAAACACTGTCACTCACAGACATTAAAAAGACCACTTATAGTAATTCTGGATATATTTTCATTGATTGTTTCATATTCATTAACAGTTTTAAATGGTCAACAAACAAAAGAACTTTTATTAATGGCGTATAACCCCATGAAGATTTAGAGTTCATCGTACTGGTTTGGAGCCTCCATTGAAGATCCTGTTGGACACCTTTAGATCGAGGTCTGTTTTTGTTAACGTATGTGTTGTTATGTTGATGTCTTCCACGTGATGTCTTCTTGACTGTTCTCGTGTGTTTGTTATCATCAATGTCTGCCAAAGTATATATGTACATCATATACGAGACGAGTACATAAATCGCTTTGTATGTCACACACTTAACAATTTTAAATCGATTGATTAGATCTATTGTAGAAATTAGAAAAAAAATAACGGAAACTTTACTGTATGTGAATTAGACTGAACTGCCATATATAGTATATATACATCTTACCTTAGTATGGCTTCATGTGAATACACACTTGAAATAATTCGATACTGCTTTCACAGGTGGATGATTTTGTAAAATAACATGAGTATTTAATTTATTCAGTCTGAACTACAGGAGAATAGGCGGTTCTGTAATAGTTATACACCGAGGGAAAGGCCGGAGGGGTTTCTTATCCAGACACGCCGTATCCCGAGGTGTATAACTAACTTACACCCCATTCTAAACCCTATATTTGTTAACATTGATTATTAAATGAAAAAAAAATCGATAGCATATTTATTGACAATATCAAACCATGATTTATAAAAATATTGTTTTTATTACATGAAACCCCACTAGTAACATTTCTTTGGTTATCTTCGTTCAAACTTTGACAAGTGAGTATATTTTACAAATGTCAAAGTTGATTTGCATATTCCCGTTAAATCCATGTGCTTATATGGATCAGCAGGTCAAGGTTGACTGTTTCGTGTATTCTTATTACAAACAAAAAATACATCATGCTCCTGTTATACAGTTGTCAATATGGACGGGTATAACACGGACGGCATTTTGTGGCAAGCGTTGGATTTGGTAGAAGAGACTAAAGATAAAGGCAATATTATAACCCAAAGTACTTACCTGTATCAGCTTGATAAAGGTAATCATAACTGTATTTTATATCTTACGATTTTATCAAAAACAAAGCCCCCCCCCCCCTCTTCTCGAGAATAAACCAACATTCATATTCGAACATACTAAGGGATAGTTGTGTCTGCATTAAAAACCCGACTACCAGACACGCTCAACATACAATATTTAATATAGAGGAACTCCCTTTTTAGGGGCAATCAGGGGCTGATCCCGGGGGTTCCCAACTCAAGAGAAAAAAGGGGGGTCCAACCATTTAAATGCATTGATTTTTTAAATAAAAGTCGGGTCCAACCCGCGGAACCCCAACCCCGGATCGGCCACTGGGTAACCGGGGGTGGGGGCTGGAGTTAGAATCCCCATTTTTTTTTAAAGATCAATGCTTTAGAATAGAGACATATGACTGGGATAAAAAAAAATTACCTTCAAGCAAAAGAGTATTTAAAGGATTATTTTTGTATTCCATACTATAGATATTTATTGGAATTTCCTAAAATATGTTTTTTTAATATCATGAAACAATTTGTAGTGAACACTATTAGTAATTTCTTATGTTCATGCTATTTAATCAATTTCTATTGTTACGAATAACAATGGATTGTGTTTGTGGGAGGTCAAAATCCATTGTTATTCGTAACAATAGATCTATTCAATTTACACTTGTTTCAGAAATAGAAACTATGAAGTATAACAATAGGACTGGGGTGTAAATACATTTATGGTGCATGTGAATAGAAAAATTAAATGATTGCATGGTGCCATGGTAGGTGCCATCGCACATATTCAGTCACCAGAGACCATTTCACCTCGAAATACTGAAATAAGGGGTATAACAGATGAATTGTTCATTGATATATACATTTTAAACATTGTATACATGTAATTTAAAAAAAAATCAATGTGTCTTTAAATTATCAGTAAAATAAAAAGTCTATGTTTTAAAACCAAACCTCCAAATTATTAAAGTTATTATACAATTCATCTGTTTTAACGCGATGTTTTGGAAAGTTATACTAGTAACGCATGAATATATGCATAGCCTTTAAGGATCATTTGACGTATAGTTGATAATTATATCCTCCAAAAAGGGGACAGGAGAAATACATCAGAAAAGGTCGAGGGTCTAAATTAATCAAATATACAAGGCTTCTAGCTTAGTATGCTAGATTCGTGCTTCCTTTACAGCCACCAATTAATGGCGAGCGAATCATTTAAACAGTTGGTTGATGATTGGTTGATATTTAAAGTCCAGTAGCTAATCTAACATGCATATCAGGACCAGAACATTTTAAATTGAAATGAATATGAGCCCTTCTTAATTTGTACTAGACCGACACGCTGAGCCAGAGTTTTTAAGAGCTAGTTCAGAAGGTAAGAGAAAGACATGTCATGTTTCCTTCCTTATTCTGACCCACAGCCAATTAGTATAAGCTTTATTCCTAAATGCCGCATGGTAGGCGGAGAAGCAGCATATGCCAATTTTCCAGTCTTTGGTTTGACCCAGCAGGAGATCGACTCTACGATCTCCCGCACTCGAGGCGATCATGCTACCACAAGAACGAGAAGGCGGTTAAAAAATGTTGGAGCAGTAAAGCAATTACGAAGCCGTTTGAGAGCATTCATAACCAAAATTTCTAGAAAGTTGTGGCGATGCTCTATTTAAGCCTATGTAGGTAGAAAAACTACTTGGCTGGTAATACCCTCAGTGACGAAACGTCTACCAGCAAATAATATTTTTGTGTGTGTTACCGGTATCTTGTGTCTGAAACCAATGTGGGTCACTTTACTTCAGGTTTTCACATATTTCATGCATAATAGCATTAGACACCGAACATTCATATTGTGTGTTTGTGTGTGTGTGATTTAGGGGAGGGTGCTTGTATTTTGAGCTTGCGTTTTTTTTTTCTGGACAAGCAATTGTTTTCATCTTAATATAAAAACAAACTTTATACTCTGTTTTCAATCAAATACAGGATTAAGAAAAAAAAATCTGAAACTCGATGTTGAATTTATTATTTTTTTTCCTATTTTTCTAACAATTCTGAAACAAGTTTAAATAATGAATCAAATATTTTAAAAAATATATATATACCCTCTCCCCTGCTTAAAGGCCGTATGGTGACCTGTAGTTGATTACAACGCTGTCCTTTGTACATACATATTGTAAACCTGATTAAAGGCCGTACTGTGACCTGTATTTGTTTACATCGTTGTCCTTAGGTACTTTGTGCATAGTTAAAATTGAGAATGGAAATGGGGAATGTGTCAAAGAGACAACAACCCGATTATATTGTCTCCTTTGCAATAGTATGACAGTATGTGACAAATAATTAAATCTTAAGTTATAAAAGTGAAACCAAATAAAAAAGAAAACTTTTAAGTTCACAATACCACACTTTTACGGAAGCCTGGGGTGCAATGCAAAAATAAAATTACAACTTTTGGGCACGAGTTACAAACTTGACTCGAACAGCAATGCATACCATTGGCTAAGTAACCTTTAGATCTAATGTATTGGTGATTTGAAAAATATCTAATTTTACTCTATGAGTGACACGAAGCCTCACATGCCAAAGGCCGTCAATATAGTGGCTACTTATTTGTGACTTGAGTTTTGTTTAGTTTGTAACAAATCTATTTTTATAGAAAAAAAAAACACCGTGCAAGCGGAAATTAGAACGAAAAATAACGATCGTTTCATGTTAGTGCCTTTAGTTTTCTCATTTGAATTAATAACTGCTATCTTGTTTTTTTTTATATATATTTTACAATACGGTATGGGTTTTGTTCGTCGTAGAACGCCATACGGTGACATGTGTTGTCCACATCCTTTTCCTTTGGGGTTTGGGCCAAATCTCTTATTGGTATTTATACCTTCATTATGTATATATACTACCTGCTGATGATATACATAATACTTCTTGTTTGTATAATTTATCACAGGACCGAAATCTCATATGAAAGTTCACATAGATATGATAATCTAATCAGGAATTAATTATTGACGAGAATTCATTTTAATACATCATATCACTGGTTGAGTGAAGATGTTAATAAAATGTATACTTCTGCTGTGTGTATTTCAGATAACTTTTGGACGATATGAACCAAATTGGGAATCCATTGATTCTCGACCTCTGCCAGCATGGTTCGATGAATCCAAGGTTGGGATTTTGATCCACTGGGGCGTATTCTCTGTACCATCAATACTGTCGGAATGGTTTTGGTATCAGTGGGAGACTCGCACACCACTCTTGGTTGATTTTATGAAGAATAATTACAGACCTGACTGGACCTATCCGGATTTCGCTCCTCAATTGACAGCAGAATTTTTTAATGCTGAAGAATGGGCTAGTTTACTTAATATATCGGGAGCTAAGTAAGTGTAAATTCAGTATTATCGATAACGTAAAACTTATGACCTATTAATACAGATGGTATGTTTTGATAGTTAAATTATATGCGAGAAGGTTTAATTATAGACTATCGTACTTTTTTGAGAATTAACATATCTTATTTTTCAGATGGTAGACGGACATCAAAATGATAAACATGAATATTTAAAGATCAATCCATAAGTTAAAATCTTAAGTTCAACTTTGAACCATGTCAGGAGCCTGTAATGTACGGGTTATCGTTTGTTGTTGAATATCCCTTTTTTTTAGTTTGTTGTTTTGTACATAAATCAGGCAGTTGGTTTTCTGGTTTGAATTATTTTTACACTTTGTCGTGTCGAGGCTTCATATGCAGTGATTAATTTGCTCATTGTTGATGTATGGTGATCTATATTTTCTAATATCTACGTAATTTGGTCTCTGGTAGATATTTGTCTCATTGGCATGCATTCATACCACATCTCCTCATTTTATTTTGAATACACCTTTTCTGTCAACGATGTGGACGATTTTCCACGAGGGTATTGACTCGAAATACAATTTTTATTTTCGAAGTTTACACGATATTGTCAACATCGCGATGTCGACGATGTGAATGATTTAAACACAATGGTGTAGACTTGGTGAACAATAGAAACACGATGTTGACACGATATTTTCAACATTACAATGTCGTCGATGTAAACGATGTAAACACGAGGTTAGAGACTTGGTATACAATATAAGATTGATGTTTATCTGATATTGTAAACACTGCGATAACGATTATGTAAACAATGTTAACACAAGGTTGTATACTAGTATACAATAGAAGCATGAAGCTGACACGATTTTGTCAACATCGCCGATGTCGACGATGTGAACGATGTAAACACAAGGAAATAGAATTAGTTTACAATATAATCACGATGTGGACACGATATCGTCAACATTGGGACGGATTTAAGCATTTTTCCTAACATGGAACTCGATGTAGAATCGATTGTACACGAATAAGTCGACAATAAGATGATAGAAATATCGTTAAAACATCTTCCATTGAAGGTATGTCAAAAGAACAATACACTGTGGGCTTTACTTGTAGGTATGTTTTCATGGTTGGTTAGCATCATGTTCTTACAGTGA